GGGGGGCGACGAAGAGCGGTCCAGCTCCAACCGGCGACACCCGAAAGGAGAGTTGAGGTGTTGACGCGGGTGTCGAGCCAGTCACATGGCAACCCATTAAGTCTCCGTGACTCATTTACGTCGGCCCGCGGCGAAAGGCTGGAGTCTTTTTTGCACGCGGATGAAAAAGAGCTTCCTCGCAGCTCAACCTCGTCCGTTAGCTTGGAAGTCTTTGACGCCGTGGTAGCTCAGGACCTTCTCCCATCTGGATGCGCTTCTTGTTAACCTGCTGTGAGAAAAAGAGCCAACAATCACGTCGCCCCCCCGTTTGGACTCGGTCTCCAAATGGTCTCCGGTCTGGGCTGTGGGGGGAATGCCGGCTTCAAACGAGTCTGTAAAATTGCCGTCCCGCTGCTGGGTACGCTAATGCTTGCCTTTCCTCCCGCAGTTTGTCAAAGCCGTGAGGCACTTTGGCGAGGATGCCGGCAAGATGCAGCCCGACGAGTTCTTCGGTATCTTCGACCAGTTCTTGCAGTCCTTCGGCGAGGCGCAGCAGGAGAACGAGAACATGCGGCGGCGAAAAGAGGAAGAGGAGCGCAGAGCTAAAATGGAAGCTCAGGTAATGGCCACGCGCTCTCAATTCGTGCTCGGGGAGGTCCGCGCTTTACGGCTGAGCTCCGTTCTTAGCCCGAGTCATTTTCCCGCTTGAGTCAAGCGCCACTCGTGTCTGGCCTTACGCAATACCGCAGGTTCTCGACGGCAACGCGCACCGGGTAGTTTTGATCTTCATTTTGAGTAGACCGGAAACATCTGCAGACGGCGTAGCGAGCCTTGCGGAACGCCGGGGGGGGGGGGATCATGATCTTTGTTTTGGCTCACTGAAGGGGAAGTAAAAAATGGTTGAAGACTGCCCTGAGCGTTTTCGCTTCCACGTTTTTTTTGTTTGTTTTTCTCCCGTCGGATCGCCGTGCAGCTCAAAGAGCAGCGAGAGAAGGAGCGCAAGGCGCGCAAAGCCAAGGCCAACGGCGAAGACGACGACGGCGGCGAGTTTGACGACCTGGTGTCGGCGCTGCGCTCGGGCGAGGTGTTTGACAAGGACCTGTCCAAGATGAAGCGCAACCGCAAGCGCATCAACAGCCACAACTCGGAGGGCGGGCGTGAACGACCCGTCACCAAGCTCAACTTCTAGGATCTTGTCCGCCACGCGCCGCTACCCATCCTTGCGGGGGGTTTTTTCATGAGGTCCCCCCACCACCGCTTCCTGGAGTGACTTGCTACGTTCCCACACTTGAACATTTCATGATCAATGGAAGACGCCGTTTGACAGGATCTGCTGAGTTTTTGTTTTTTTGTCTGCTTGCAAACAGGACGAACACTCCCCTCAAAGACGACAAAAGTGACTGATGGGGGAGACACTGGAGCTGGACTTTTTTTCCCCCATCAGAGCTTTAACTGCAAGCTGAAAAGGAGCTATTGCCCCCCCCCCCCCAATTCTTGCTTTCAAATAGTTTGACGCGTTTGCAGCATTTCTCAGGGATGAGAATGACAAATGAGAAAATAGTCGGATGGGTAAGCTGGGTGCGAATGGTGAAACGTACTTGTGGGCGGTTGGGCGTCGTCCTAACTCGGACACTGATGTGCTTGTCAAATGGATAAAAGGCACGTGTAACCGCTGTAAATGAGCACAAACGACAAAATGGGATCGCTGAATTGAGCGCCACCGAATGCGAACGTCGGCGGCAGGAAATTTCTCAACAGCTTTGCGCTTCTCTTGAGAGAGGTCATTTGGGTGCAAAGTCCCAAATCCGCCGATCAACAGAATATTCTCATCCTGGATTTCTTTGAACGCTGGAGAAGATCACATCGCCGTTTGTTAAGAGCTGGCCTAAACTGTTCGGGATTTTTAGGTCAAGTCGGTACTTTTCCAGGCCTGGGCCAAAAATGGCCAAGCGATTTCAAGTGTGGCCACTTGTGTATTCAAGTTAAAAAAAAAAAAGAAAAACAAACACGTGCACATATGAAGCTGTAGTTATCGTGCTAAAACGCCATTAAAAACAAACCAGCCAACCACGTTTAAGATTTGCCTTTTTATTTCCTCAAATATGCAGTGGAAAGCGTTGACGTTTCTTTCAAATGGTGAAATGTCGGATGATGCAAACGTGAACCGTGTCAAATTCGGATTCAAAGTTGACTTGAAGAAAAAAAAGCGGCAAGCGAGAGGAGAGGCTCACTTGAGCACAAAGCCGTCTTTCAGCCGGTCCTCCGTCTCCTGCACGAAACAAGACGCTCCCGTGTAAAAAGCCGCGCCGGCCACTTCGACCACCACCGCCTTGAAGTCGCCGCACGTGGTCTCCTGCACAGGTAAAAAAAAGAAAAAGCTATGGCTCGATTTTATCTTTGCTTCTTTGACCCGCCTGATGCTTTGAGGGTTCGGCGGCCGGCTTACCTCGACGGCTTTGCCGGTGAACTGCGATCCCGTGGCCCCGCTCCGGAACGTCCTGGACTGCTTCAACTGGATCTGACCTCTGCGGTACTGGAGGGCCACTCGCGCCGTCACGCCGGATCCCGTCGGGCTGCGGTCCACCTTCAACCCGTCAAAAGTAAGCGTCATTGCGGTGCCGCGCGATGCCGCCGCGCCTTTGATACCAATGAGTGGGTGACCTGCGCTTCTGCGAACACGCAGACGTTGGCGGTGGCGTCCGAGGAGAACTCCTCTTTGCCGTCGGTGAGGATGGTGCCGTACAGGAAGGCCAGGTCGTCGCTCAGCGGGTGGCGCAGCTTCACCTGGGACCGAGAGCCGGGCACGTTTGACGCCACCGCGGGGTACGTTTCTTTTGACGCTTGCTCGGTCGGGTTTGACGCCTCGTTCTACAAGTCAATCGCTTTTCTTGCCGGTGGATCGCGAATCCAAATTGTACAAGAGCGATCAAGGCTAATTGGCACGGCGCCACCCCGGCCGGCCTGACCCGGTACCTGCAATTTGACGGCTTTGGTGACGGCCGTGGCGGCGTCCACCAGATCTCTGGTCCGGGACTCGCTCACGTCCAGACCGAAGCGCCGCGCGTCCACGATGGCGTAAAAAGCTCCGCCGTAGCTGATGTCCACCGTCACGTTGCCGAAGCCTTCCACTGCCACCGTCACATCTGCCACAAGCGCATTCAACGCATTTTTCCTTCCGCTTCATGAAGTTCAGTGTAAAGGTGACATCCAAAACGAGGGGGAGAATCCTCATTGTTCTTAGTGATTTAAGGGGGGGAAAAAAAATCATTTTCCCAACCCAGCATTGCCAGAATCTCACATTTTGCCACATTCATTTTTCCCCAATATTGCTCAACTAAAATGTCTTTGCGTGAAATGTATTCCTTGTAAATCATCAGAGCGAGGAGGAAACTAAAAACATTCACTTGTCCTGCATGACTTATGCTGATCAATAATCGGTTAATCTCAGTAAACACACAAAGTTGGCCCCGCCCCGCTGCGCCACAGCTAGCACAGGTGTCTTCCCACGAAGGAGGAAGTGACATCACGCACCCGTGGCGAAGACAAACGCCGGCACGCTGAGGAACCTCACCGCGCCCGTTTTCCCGTCCGCGTACTCCACAAAGGCCCTGACCAGCCCGCACGGGCAGTGGATGTTGACGGGCGTCTCGGGCGAGCGCGGCTCCTTCACCAGGCCGTAGTCGACGGCGAAGCGTCCCAGGGCGATCACGGCGTGCCCGCACATGGTGCTGTAGCCCTCGTTGTGCATGAAGAGGACGCCCAAGTGGGCGTCGGGCAGCTCGCTGGCCACCACCAAGGCGCCGTACATGTCGTAGTGGCCCCGCGGCTCCAGCATCAGCGCCCGCCGCAGGTGGTCCAGGTGCTGGCGGGCGTAACGCCGCTTGGACAGCAACGTGTGGCCTTTGACCTCCGGGTAGCCGCTCACGATGATGCGGAGAGGCTCTCCGCCCGTGTGCATGTCCACCACCGACAGCTTGGCGCCCCCGTGTGGCGGGAGCCGCATGTCCATCGCTGCCCTGAGGAGCAAAGTTGCCATTTAGCGATTTTTATTGGCCGAGTTTTGCTCTGTGCAGTCAGGTCAGGTCGGGGCCCTCCTGAGTGAGACCCTCCTATATGTGTGCGTTGCCTTTCAGGGGCGCGCTTGCGTTGCCTCCTGAGTCATGTCAGGACCTGGATTCGGTGTCGCCTGCTCATCGTCTGTGTGTGGGCGTGTGGCCGTGAGTGGTGGCGCGCGGCAGCACCTGGTGAGTGGTCTTGCTTTCTATTTCTCGGAATTTGTTTGACCCAATTCGCTAAACCTTTTAAAGTGCACCAGGCACTAGAGCTGAACAAGTCAACAAATTGACATCAGCGTCATCGTGGAGGGACAACAAAATGGTTATTCTCGGTCAGACGCTTTTTTTGTCGATCTCAAGCAGTGTCGAATCCGAAACCTGCTTCTAAATAACTGACTCTCCCTCTCTCTGTACATACTCTCCACTCTTGTAGCCTGTGGTTCAAATAAACGAGGTCAGTCGTAAATCAAGGTACCATTGCACACTTCTAAAGTACTGGTACTCATCAAGGGTATCGACATTGTTGTTTTTAGGGAGTTCGGCAACATGACTTGAACCAATCCAATTTTATTTGAGTCAAACGTAGCGAGACTGTATTTTCCTTCGCTCAGATGACAAACGAGCCCAGTTCGCCTCCATCCAATGATTCGCTTGTGCGCCAAATGAAGGACTTGATTTCAGCGATCCTCGTTTGCTCGTTTCTTCGGTCATTTCACATCTGAGTAACGCGTTCGATTACAATACTCGAACCACAATCAAGTTTTGAGCAACGATTCAAGGATAACGTCAAATATTTACGTTCACCTATTCGACTTGGCTTACGGCTCGAGTGGCACTTTTTCTTCTTCGTTGGTTTCCGTCGCTTTGACTGTTGGCAAGTCAATTGGGAGGCGCTTTGCTGCGCCCTAGCGGCTTTCGGGATGTATGACATGAGAGTTCATCTAAAACGTAAGCGAATATTTCTCACTCGATCACTTTTAGAATTTAATGAAATACGTTGTTAAACGTCTGTGAACGACAACAACAAATTCAAGTATGAAATATAACGCCACAGTAAACTGATTTTTTTAAAATCTATGATAGTGTCCGTGCATATGCACGTGCCGGGGCCCAGGATGTGAGATGGGAATGAAATAAATATACAAGTTTACTGTCGGAAGAAAAAAAAACGGCGATGCTAAACAAAGAGTGAAATAGTGGGGGACCAAATGATCAACAACAATTATGCTTTATTTTATTCCCCCCCCCAAAGAAAATGACGTCACCATACCCTTATTATTGACATAAAGAGGAAAAAAATCCTATGTTCTAGACTTAACTCAAATGTCAATATTTTTAGCGAGTTGAATGATGGAATAGAACAGCAGATGGTGGGCGGGCATCATTGTTTTGTTCCCCCCCCCCCCCCCCCCCCCCCCCCACACACACACACACCCACGTTCTTCACATCAGTGGAGAAAGTTTCCCTGTGTACATGCAAAGGCCTTTTCCCAACCTATAGTATGTACAACAATGTTAGTGGAGAGATCACATGCTTCCTAGGATTGACCGTGACACAAAAGTGGTGGTGTGATTCCCCCAGGTGGTCGAATCGCGCTCGGGGTTGCATATCGTTTCGGTGTGTAGGTCATCCTCCATTCTCGCACGAGACAAAACATATCCACAATTCAAAACTACCTGAGCATGACAGTGCATTGATTTATCACTGCATTTAACCACGTGTAGGAACGATAAATCAAATGGCATTCACTTGATTGCGGCTTTGCATGCGTATGGCAACTCGTTCTGAGAGGTACGGAAGGGAAAGACCCCCCCCTTGCCGTATTTGCGCCATTAGCATCGTCTCGGGCCAAGGTCAGTTCACCAAAGCGTATGAAATAACCAAAATAAGGGACGAAACAACCATTTTCGTTCGCCGCGGTAAAACCAGACGCCGCGTTGTCTATTCGCAAAAGTATTTTCGGTGTTTTGTCCGTGCTCTTCAACGTTGATCTTATGCCATAATCGAGTCTGCTTTTAAAATGATATCATGAGTTTTGATGACACAATACAGCATCTCGCTCTTGAGACATGCCAGTATGACAAGAACGTGACTGCAACTAATCTTAAAACAAACAAAAAAAAAAAAAAAACATACAAAGCGAAGATAATTCGACAGAGAGTCCTTACGAAGTATGAAGTGACAAAGCCTTACCTTGGCCTGAACACGTGGTCATTTCTTGACAGGTTTAACCAGCAGAGCATCACTGAAGCTTTTGGTCCAGCGTAAGGCACCGATTGAGTTTCCGTTTCTTTTCGTGTCCCGAACGCGTTTCGCGAATCGGCCTCGAAGCGGGAGGGGAGCGCTTGACCTCGGCAGCTCGACACGACGTCCCCGTCGGCCTGAGTTGCCAGCACGTGTCAACGGAAGCCCTCGCGAGCTCATTGCACCCTGGGCTATGCTTGTTAACGTTACTTCGCCCCCCCACCGCAAAATCCGTCATAGCGCAGCTTTGTCTCGGATAGCAGATCTTATTTTCACGCAGCTAATGCTTCCGACGCGGTCCTTCTGTATGTTTGTACCCCAGTCGCGGGCTAAAGTTTGCACGGGGTCCGCTCAAAAGGGCCCGTCGTCGTCTTTTGCGGCCGGAAGCGAGGCGACGGCGGAGTCTCGGCTTTTGGACGCGGGCGGCAGCGACAGTCGTCGTCGGACAGAGAGCAGCCGGAGCACCTCGCCCACCCGAGCCTCCAGCGCGGCGAGCCGGCCGCCCAGCGCCCGGATGTCGGCCTTCAGCTCGGCCTTGGCCTCGTACAGCGCGGCCTGCGGGAGGTCCCGCTCGGAGCCGGCGGGCCCGAACGGGTTCCGCTCCAAGGGGCTGCGCTCCAAGGGGCTCCTGGAGTCTCCGACTCGGTCGATGCGCAGGTCGCTCTTGGTGATGCCGCTGTCGCACGAGTCTGTTTTGTGAAGGGCGCCGGCTGCCCCCGCGTCGGCGCCGGCCCCCGTGCTCCCCGCCCGGGCCTGGTTCTTGGTGGCCGCTATTTGCTCCGACGAGCGAGATCCTTGGGTCCGGCCTTCCGCCTTCTCCGTCGGCTTCTCGTCCTCCCCCGGTGGAGGAGGAGGAGGCGCAGCCGATTTGGCGTTTTTCAACTTTGCCCACCCTCCGGCGCCCGCTCGGCGGGCGGCGGGGCCCCCGGCGCCCTCTCTGTCGACCCCCTGGCTCGGCGGCTTCTCGCCACAAGGCCCCCGTTGAGACCGCGCGGCATCCTCGGGGCGGTTCTGCTCCGACTTGTCTCGGCGGCCCCTCCTGCACGCAGTTGCGCTCCGGGTACGGGAACGATTCCCCCGCCGTCTGGCCGTCTCTCTGCTGCCGGAACCGCTGGAAGAGCTTCCTGACCGGGTGGTCGTCGGGAATGGAGAGCGCCACCTCGGTCCTCTGGCGCTCCTGCTCCCGCTTCACGTCGGCGATCTTTCGAAAGATGACCTGCAAAAAAGGGGAAGAAAGGCGTTCGAACCATTGAGGTGGCCGTCGTGGTCAAAAAAAAAAAAATCCCGCAGTATATCGCAGTCGGAGGTGTCCAATCCAGGTCCCGAATGCAAAAAAGCCCGCCACGGTGCGGCTTTAGCCACTGGGGCCTTCTCCTCATCCTCCCCGGGAGCCAAACGAAAGCTCGGTCGCTTCATTCAACAAAAAAGGAAACGCAAAACACTCAACATAAGCACATCGTTTTGAGCCGACCACCTCAATTGACATCAGAGTGGCATACGTTCGGCCCGCTTAACAGCCAGCAAATTGGACACGATGGTTTTCCATCCGAGGTCTCTAAGACGACTGCGTCAAGCATATTTCTGTGCATGAATGTCCAAAACGGCTCCTCATCAAATGGATCTCGACGTGATGCTTAAAAGCCAGCCAGCCCCCTCGCGGCAGAGTTAAAAAAAGAAAAAAATAGAACTGCCAAGCGGCAGTTTGAAAGGACTGAATCAGCAGGCGTTTGCTCCCGCCACTTGGTGCATGCGGGTTGACGAATGCCTTTTTCAACCAGCGCAGCATTCCTGAGCGTGAATGTCGCATGTTGCTGCCGCTGTTGTTGTTGTTAAAAAGCATTCAAGCTAAGCATGTGGTTGAAATATTCAAAAGCTGAAAGCCGCGGTTCCCTGGGGGGGAGGCCCTTAATGGAGCTGTGATGCAATCGTGGAGGCAACGCTTGTCTGAAGGCCGAATTAAAACATTTCCATTTTTTGGAGGGGGGGGGGTCGAGCAAATCGAGCTTCATGAATAAACGGTGGCAAGGTTTGCGTCGTACTTCTTGAAATCATGTTGAAATCTAAATTCCACATGGAAAAATCCCCTTTGAACTCATTATTTCCCCCCCCCTTTTTGAAACCCCCCCGACATGTGTGTTGGTTACCCGTTTTCGCAGGTTGCAGGTGAGGATGAGGTTGCGCGAGAAGGAGTGGGCAAAGGCCGTGTAGAAGTCCAGCACCCGCATCAGCGCCTCTCGCCGGATCACGTGCAGGTCGCAGTAAGTCAGCGCACGCACGTTGGCGCACGCTCTCGCCATGGTGCTCTCTTTCCAGAAGACATCGCCGAACACGTCTCCTTTACCTGCGCCCGCAATCATTATTCGGGGGGCGGTGTTTTCCGATGGTAGTTTGGGCTGCATTCAAAACTGCGAACGGCGCGGCATTTCTGACCGTCGCCATCTTTGCGCGGAGGGGTCTCCGCCCGGTTTCTTACCCAGGATGGCGATGACCTCGTCATCCTGGATGACTTCGAGGGAGCCGGAGACGACGAAGCAGAGCGTGTCCACGCTCTCGCCGATGTGGAAGATGAGGTCGCCGGGCGCGCAGTGCGTGGTCTGGAACTCCACGGCCAGCGAGCGCAGGCAGCCGTCGCTCGCCAGGCGAAAGGCCGGGTGGTCGTTGAACACCTGACGGTTGAGGTGCACGCAGATGTCTGCTCGCATGTCTTTGGGGCAGATCGACAACACCTGGGGGGGGGGGGGCGGCGGCAAATGGCGAGCGTGAGAGCAATGCAATACTGAGAGCAATGAGCGGTTACCTTATCTGTGTCGATGCCCTTTGACATTGCCCAGGTGGAGACGATGAAGTCCATGACGCGCTCGCTGAGGCCTTTGGGGACCTGGTAGAGCTTGAGGAAGTCCCGCACGTTGTTCAGCATCTCGTGGTAGCGGTTGGTGTTGGTGTACATCTGCTGGAAGATGGTGGTCACGTTTCCGAAGATGGTGGCGTACAGCAGCGCTGAAAGGTAACGCGCGCGCGTCACACGCTATCTTTCAAACAAAAAAAACATTCAAGCGCAAATAAAACAATGATTGCACCGTATATGCCCATGGATATATTTTTTCCATGTCGAAATTTAGCAGGGACTTACTTTATTGCAATTACTTGGCCCATTTCGACTTAGCTAGCTAGTTATGCTAACACCCTGAAAACGCAACTTCCCTGGATGTCACGATGAAAAATTCCCCAAAGTTCTGTACGGTCTGTTGTTCAAGCTGCTAGAATGTGTTTTGTCCTTCTCTCCGCCCCGGCGCTGACGAAGATGACGTGAAAGTTGGCGCAAACCAGCGCGGCACATTATCCTTCGTAAAGCGCGGCGGCCGCGTGAGCGGTCCTGGCCGCCCGCCTGCGGTGACCTCAAAGAGTCAGTCGGCATCTCCGACGGGGCGCGCGGAGCCGGTCGAGGGGAAAGAGGTTCCGAGGCATCCAAGCGCGAGGCGGCCGCTCGCTCGTCGAGGCCTCGGGGCGCCGCGCTCCCCCCCGCGGCCGACTGGCCGCGCACGATGGCCCCGTATCCATAGCGGGACATTTATCGGCGGTAATTGCAGCCCCGCGCTCGCGCGCAGCACGCGGGGAGTTTTCGTGATTGTGCAACGGCGGTTTCGGGACTGGAGTGGAGGGGGGGGGCGCCCAGCCCCCAGCGCCTCTGTCACTTTGCGTGGCCCTCACTGTTGTTCTTCGTGCCCGACTTGACAGGATGCCGCGCGGGAGGCGGGCCAAGGTTGGTTGCAAAGACGTCGGCTGAACGGCGAGATGAGCTCAAGTCGTACCGTCGACGGTGCCGCCGTTGTGGGGGGATGCAATTTTCAGGCGAGCCTCAGCCCGAGGCCTCAAACATTCGCCGTGCCTGTCGATAGTGATCCAAAATAATGACTGACAATATCATTCGGACTTGAAACGGGGGGGGGGGGGCGGGGGCGGGGCCCGGCCCGTCGAGGCCGGCTATTGACCGGCAAGGCGGCTTTTGCCCGCGCGGTATTTGCCAGCGTCCAAACGCGCCCGCTCGCACGTTTTGTTTTTCAGGAGAGATGACGACGCGTTCCATTTGTCGACGGTCGCCCGCGGCTGAAGCGAAGGGACGGCAAGAAGAGCCGCGCACTCACATCCCACCATCATCATGGCCACGGAGAAGACCTTCTCGCCGTCGGTGGTGGGCGCGATGTTGCCGAAGCCGATGGTGGTGAGGCTGGTCATGGTGAAGTAGAGCGAGGAAATGTAGAGCGTGTCCTTGTTGGGGCCGCCCTCCCAGCGGCCCGTGCCGCTGGCGTTGTAGCGGTACGGCGTCCCGATGCTCAGCGCCAGCTGGTAGAGCCAGCTGTCCGTCTTGATGCTGTTGGTGCGCTCGTCGATGACCTCGTAGTCGCCGATGCTGTACCAGATGCAGGCCAGCCAGTGGGCCACCAGCCCGAAGACGCACACCAGCAAGACCAGCACGGCCGCGCCGTACTCCAGGTAGTGGTCCAGCTTGCGCGCCACTCGCCCCAAACGCAGGAGGCGGATCACCTTCAGCGAGCTGAACAGGCTGCTCAGGCCCTGCAAGGAAGGAAGGAAAGAACGGTGGACGCGGGATTGACCCAAGTGCCCCGCCAAAGAAAGAGCAAAAAGTCCCTTACGGGCAGCACCGAGTCCTCCGCCCTGGTGCCGTTCCGGTGGAAGCCGGCCGGGGCGCTCGCCGGGGACGAGGGCGCGACAAAGTCCTCCCGAGGGGAAAAAGACAGCGGTGAGCACGCGGCGGCGACTCGACGCGGCGGCCACTCACCTCTTCGAAATGCTCAAAGGCGTTGATGATGTCGTAGGGCAGGCAGGAGAGCAGGTCGATGACGAACCAGGTCTTGACGTAGTTCATGCGGATGAGCCTGGCGTCGGAGACCACCTCGCCGGCGGGGCCCACGAAGGTGGTGTGGAAGTTGAGCACGATGTCCACCAGGAAGATGACGTCCACCACGCTGTCCAGCACCAGCCACGCCAGGTTGTTCTGCCTGGTGCGGAAGGACACGTTGTAGGGCACCATGATGGCCGTGTAGAAGGTCAGGATGAGGATGACCCAGTCCCACGTGGTCTTGAAGGTGCAGTAGTGCAGGATGATGTGCGGCGGCGTCTTGGGGGCTTCCTGCTTGTACTGGGGGAGGATGTCCGAGCCCAGCTGGAGGGCCTGATGTTGGCGGGAACACACGCACACACACACACACACACACACACAAAAAGTCCCCGCCGTCACTCGGGACGGCGAGCCGACAGGAAAACGCCCGGCCGGCCTTGGCACGCTCGTTCGTGGCTACTTTGGCTCCTTTGACATTTTGTCTCCCGATGGCCGAGCAGGCACTCGGGTGCGCCATGTAAACCCTCTGCCCTTTGCCCTTTGCCCTTTGCAACCTGTCCTCAGGTGCCTTTGACGCTGACGTTGAGTTGCCCACCTCTGCCAACCGGGACGGCTTGTGGCTGACCTCCGTCTTGCTCAGCGGCGCCATCTGCTGGACCAGGTTGCGATTGTTGGTAAGCGCCCGCGTCAGTCTGGCGAACTTTGTCCATCCTGAAGTCAAAACAAAAAAAAATATGCGAGTTAACTTTTCCAGATGAAGTTTTCAATGAAGCATACAATAACAATCATAGGACACGTCATATTTATCCATTTAGGTTTTTTTCCTGAAACGTCATCGCTATGAATCTGCATTGCATTAAAAAAAAGCTGATGTGCTCCAAAAAAAAAAAAGGTGAAGACATTTCGGACATCGGTGTCAAAATTTAATCATCGCATCAATAACATGTTAACTCGTGACATTTTGGAACATTGGCGTATTTCCTCTGAGATCATTCATTTCTCAAACGAAATTGGAAAAGAATCCATTTCTGAATGGAAAAAAAAAAATCTTGCAAAGGTGACGTGGGAATACTTCCAACGCGCGCCAGTGTCCTCGTGCGCTCCGACTGTTGTTTCCGCTTCATGTATGTCATGGGGGGGGGGGGTCTTGGCTGCACGCGAAAAGGCCCCGAGGGCATCATGGCATCTCTGAGCCGCGCTTTGCGTTCTCCCCGGGGGGGGCCTTCCGGCTTCCTTTGCCACTCAGGTCATTTGAGCGCTTCATCGAAGTTTTGGTTCGGAATCGAACGCAGGCGGCGTCGAATCTTGCGAGTGAGGGAGGACAAAAGGTGGAGGACGTGCAGGGAGCGTGCGAGCGAGGCCCGTTCGAGGGCCTTTCTACCCGCCGAGACAAAACGGGCGTCCCACCTCGCGCGCCTTCGTCCTCGATGGGCTGCTTGAAGAGCGTGATGTCCCGGAAGGTGCACAGGAAAAGCACCACCTTGTCGTTCTCGTTGCGGATGGGCGCCACCTGCATGTACAGCCAGATGGGCGTTCCTTCCGGCACACACACGCAAACACACACACACACACACAATGAGGAGCGTGCGTCTTCTGTGTGTGTCATTATTGAAGGGGGATGGGGGGGGGCGGCGAGGCTTACTGTTTTTGGTGTAGAGCAGCACCTCGTAGAAGTTGGGCTCGTAGCTGTCAAAGGTGAGTCGGATGTTGTCAATGGTCGTCTCGTCCGTCAAGTCGCCGTACATGAAGCTGGAGAGAGGAACGGACGCGTTCGTTTCTTGCCGTGACCTGCGGCGCCTTTCGCTCGGATGCACCCCCCCGCCCCTCTTTCCATCATCCGGCCCTCCTTCCTTTCCTCATGCACACATCCATCAACCCTCCACCAACCGCCGCTCATCTCATCATGACTCATGTCCTCATGTCCTCGTCTTCCTTGATCCATTCTCCTTTGCATCCGTTCAGGCATACCTCCAGCCCCCCCCCCCCCCACACCCAATCCATCGACCTATCAGTCCACCCGTGCATCTATCCATCCAGCTTTTTTCCTTCCTCCCTTGCATGCATGCATCCCTCCCTCCGTCCGTCCAAAGCAAGCAAGCGCCCCCCCCCCACCCCAAGGCGGTCAGAGCGCGGCGCCCCGGACCGGACTTGCATTCTTTGCTGCAGAAGCGCGCAAACTGTGGGAAGGATGGTGAGAAGCGCGGGCGGGCGAGGCCTACTTGCACGTGCTGCTCCTGTGCATGACCTCGGCTCTGTGGTAGCCGGACAGCTTGCAGAATCCATCGTTGCTGTACACCACCGGCCACTCCACGATCTGCGCGTTGCCCAACAGGAAGCTGCTTTCTGTGTGTGCGCGCACACACGCACACACACACACACACACACACACACACACACACAAAGCAAAGGACTCCCAAATTCAGGACACCGTAGACCCGTCTCCAATCGGGTGGAATTATTGCAATAGTCAGCATATATCATTGAAACAAACTGCAGGGGGCGAGCATAAAAAGGCATTAAAATTTCAAGCAGCGGTAATAGTTGTTGATCGAATGTTTCTGCTCCAGCCTCGGCCTTGATGAAAAATGCATGACGAGCTGCAAAAGTTCTCAAGCAAGGAAAGCTGCAGGAGTGCGGTCCTCCTAATGACTTTTGACGTTTCGGGGCTGGTTGGGGGCGCGGGGGGAGAAAGAAACACTTTGGGCTGGCGTGCGTTTGCTTGAACTGCGAGCGGGAAGTCGACGCGGATTCAACAAAGTTGTGTTCCGAAGAAAAGCTCACCTTTTGACAACCAAAAATGCAGTTGCGGGATCTGGGCACGTTTACTTTGGCCTTCCCTCGCGCTTGCGCTTTGAGGGCCCTACGGTGGCAAGGATGGGGGGGG